CCGTTAACAAGATTCCATTTTTTTTTTGTAAGTCAGTATACGTGTACGCGAACACATTGAAGAAGAAAATAAGAACACGTGACTATCACATTACATATTGAAGAAGAAAATATAAAAACGTAACTAGCACATTACATATTGAAGTAGAAAATAAAAACACGCGACTATCACATTACATATGTACTGCACCCAATCGGTTTCCTGTTTGATTTGCAAGGAATTGTCTAATACAATACAAAATTGAAATCATATTCCGCGAAATCCGCAAAACATTACATCAAATAAATAAGACATATCAATTATAAGACCTATGAATAACAACATGATTATTGAGTTTTTGTTTTTGTGATCTCAATCCTTAACTTATGTCTCTATGATAAATGTTTTTCTAAATCAAAAAATTCAAATTGTTATTTTTCCAGCAGCCAGGCAAAACAGTACTTGGCTCATTTTTCCCGATCTTTCCAAGCGTGTTTCTTAATCCTCTAGCATCTCTAAAGATTTTATTTTATTTATTAATTTTTTTTTTTAACAATTGGAAGGAGTAGGGCAGCAATAAAAGCTCAAATTTAGGTATCACGCCTGATAAAGAAATATGTCATGAAACAAAATAAATGAATGTTTAAATAAAATGAATGTTTAATTGATATTAACTTAACATGATTAAATGAATGTTGAAATTTAGCTAGAAAATGAATGTTTAATTGATATTAACTAAACATGATTACAAAATAAATAAATAAATAAATAAAAAATAAGAACTCTTAGATTGTATTTGAATCTTGAAATTGGAAAGTTTTAAAAAAAAATGAATAGAAAATGTGAGAAAAATAAATTTATATTTCATTTATAAATAATTTTGTCACAAATTTTTCTTTAAATTTAAATTTGAATCATAACCTTAGGAAGGTACATATAATTGCATACACTATGCTTAGTACATGTATGCCAAGAGTGATTGTAAGTTGCAATGAGACCACAAGTTTGTCCTAAACCACATAACCCCATGTGGGGGTAAATTACACTTGCACACATCTAGTTTGCACTGAAATTGTGACAGCCAACTCATTATATTTTTGGTCAAATTTTATTTTGGTTTTCACACAAGTGTCAACATCTTCCTTCTTTTATTCCATTATTTAAATCTTTAACAGAATCTAAACATGACAAGAATGTAATTACCAAATAAGGATAAGAGAGAAAAATCATTCTCATTTCTTACTAATACACACTTTGTCCTACGTAATAAGTACATCCAAGTTATATAATACAATATATATAAATGTTCATACGCTAAAAATTGAAATGAATAAGTAAGAAAATAGAGTTTTTGAAATAAAAAATGTAGTGAAATCGAAAGGAAAAGAAGAGGAATATATACAAAATTGTGTTATTATGGAAAATAGAGTTTCATGATTTCAATTTCTTCAAAACTCTAGTTCATTTCCTTAATCGTTCACAATCTGTGTTTTGTTTTAATCTAATACAATTATAACTTGATATAAATTTGGAGCGAAATGTGTATAGATGGGAAAAGGGATAATTTTTCTCTTTTGCTCTAATTTCATAGTCATATGTTTGTCACATTAACCTATGTTAAAAACTTATACGGTGGAGTAATAAAAGGAAAACATTAACATTTGACCAGAAGCATAAGAGATTGATTGACACGTTTTTATATGTAATGAGATTTGGTACAAAATGCAAAAGTATAAATTGTAATTTACTTACTTCCTTCCACGACCAAAATGTAACATCACTTTTTCTATCTAAATTAACAGAATTCAGAAGCCACTCATATGCGGGAGTAAGTAAAATTTACAAAAAAATAAAAATAAATAAAATAAAATACCATTCCTCTCCCTCGTGCTCTCTTCACTGTTTCCCTCTCTCTTTCTCTCTCTCTATTCATTTCCCTTTGCCTGCCCTATACCAACGTCCCTTTTCTCTTTTACTTTGCCAAACCCACTTTCCCACCCCAACCCACTGACCCACGCAAACTTCCTGTCAAGAGGAACATATTTCCAGTCTTCAAAGTTAATCCAAAATGATGCACACATCAGCCATTGATTCACTCATCAAACAATCTGTAGACAGAAGAAAATTTATATAAAATAAGGGTATAAAAGTAAATTGACACTATTGTTAATAGAAGTTGGATGTATACTTTAGTTCATAAATCACAAATTTCCGAATGAGCCAAACCACAAAAAGATAAAAGTGAAATTTGCCGAAAGAATAATATTGAATCCAAAAAACTAACCTCATTGATGTTCTTTCTAACTCCTTCACAAATAGATGATATTTTTTTTTTTTTTTTTTTTTGGGCCTCCAGATAGATGAGAATTTGATGCACAAACGAAATGATTTTGCGGCTCAAATAGGATGCAATGTGAACTTCTCTTCATCACATTGATAATTGTAGTTTTGGGAGCTATTTGAGAAGTTAGTTATTTTAGTAAGTTATTTTACTTTTTAATTATTTTAGTAAATTAAAATAATTGTGTTTAAGAAGATGGTTAAATTTTTTTTATAGTATGTGATGTTTGTGAAAAAAAAAAGAAAATAATTATGAACATGATGTGACATTTTATCTAATTGATTATTTTAGTTTATTTTATTTTATTTTTAGTACTATTTTAGCCTAAAAAAAAAAAAAACTATTGCCAAATACCCACATTGCAAAATTTATTGTTTTAACTTATGTTTTTGGAAAAATTTTCTATACATCCCCCTTATTATATGCACCTCTAAGTTATGTCATTGTTTTCTTTAGTTATGACCTTGTTTTATTTATGATTCATAAGATCTTTAATTATATCTCATGTGTTATTTAGTTATGACTTCTTTTTTTTTTTTTTTAGTCATAACTCAAAAGTATGAAATTATATCATTTTCTTTTTTAGTTATAAGGTACATATAATATACACCTTTTGAGGAATGTGTATCATAATCTTTTCCTATATTTTTAAATAACTTTTTAAATTCGTCACTTTGAAATGTAGTATATGTCCCCTTTCTTTTTCTTTATTTTATAAAAACTTCCAACAATTTGTTCCCTATTCTTTAGCTTTTGTTTATTTGAGCAATGCTTCAGGAAAAATTTTCATGAAGCCCATAGATCATCAGGCCTAACATACATTTTATAGAATTCATATTCATTTGAAAGTTCAAACATGAAAGAAGAAAGCCCATTTAATGTATATTAAAATCCATTTCATTTTTTTAGGATAAATTATATTGGTAATCCTATATTTTATTTATTGTATCATTTTGGTTCTTACACTTTTAATTGGCTCAATTTTAACCCTTAATTTTAAATTTTATGTTGAATTGGTCCAATTGATAGTATTTTTTTACGAAAAATTATCACTAAATTAGTTTAGGTTAACTCACTGAGTTGAGTAAATTTATAATTTTACCCTTAAAAATATGACCCATGACACTTTTTTACATATTTTTCATAAAAAAAATTGGTAAGAATTGTAATCAATAGAACTAAATTGAAACAAAGTCATAAATTCATGATCAAAATCAAATTAAACGAAATTATAGAGATTAAAATGACACAATGACCAAAGTACGAAATACAAAAACTATTGTCGTAATTTGCTATTCTTTCTAGAAAAATGCTAATGATACTATATGTTTGCTAACGTTTACGTTTTCAGTTTATATTTACAAAAATTTTATAAACTGGTTTTTGTTTATTTTTAGAAAAACATAAACTACAAACGCGTTTGGTAATTGACAAAATGTTTAAAAAACATTAAAAATATAAAAAAGAGTGAGAAATGGCAAGTGGTGGCAAGTGGCGGCGGAAGACGGTGTTGGAAAGTGGTGACGGTAGGTAGTAGGTAGCTGGTGGTGGTGGGTGGGTGACGGTGGCGGGTGGTGGGTTGTAGCAAGTGGGTGGTGGTGGTGGTGGTGGCAGGTGGGTGCCGGATGGCTAGTGGTGGTGGGTGGTGGCGGCAGGTGGGTGGCGGATGGCTAGTGGTGGTGGGTGGTAGCGGGTGGTGGGTGGGTGACGGTGGCGAGTGGTAGGTGGTAGCGAGTGGGTGGTGGTGGTGGCGGCGGGTGGGCAGGGTGAGTGGCGGGTGGCGGGTGGTGTGGTGGGTGGCGGGGTAGGGTGCGGGCGGTGCGGTGGGTGGGTGAGTGACGGTGGCGGGTGGTACGTGTAGCGAGTGGGTGGTGGGTGATAGTGGGTGGTGGTGGTGGTGGTGGTGCGGCGGGTGGGTTGCAGGTGGCTATGGGCAGGTGGTGGAGGGTGGCGACAGGTGTGGGTTGAGTGATGGTGGCAAATAGGTGGCGGTGGTGGTGGTGGCGGCGGGTGGAGGTAGTGGCGGGTGGATGGCAGGGTGGGGTGGTGGTGGTGGCGGCGAGGGATAGGTGGTGGCGGCGAGTGGGGAACAGGTGGGTGATGACTTCTTTGTATCCGAGAGTAGTGGTGGCAGGTGGTAGTGGAGGGTGGGTAGTGGGTGGTGGTGGTGGAAGACAGTGGTGGAAAATGGTGACGGGTGGTAGCTAGTGTTGGGTGGTAAAAAAAAAAAAAATGAAAACTCAAAATGGAAACACATTTTTTGTGTTTTCATTTTTTGGCCAAATTTATAAACTGAGACTACTGATTTATAAATCAAAAAATTTACCAAACAAGTTTTTATTTGAATTTTTTAAATTTTTGTAAATATAAACAGAAACTGAAAACGTAAGTGTTACCAAACGGCACCACAATCTTACTAACACACTCACAAGTTGATGTGGGTCCCATACAAAGTGATGGTTGATTTTATCGAAACTTGTGTACCTTGTGAGTGTGCTAGTAAAAAATGTTAGTAAGATTGTAAGTATCCCTAGTATTATTGTTCTTTCTATTTGATGTAGGCTCTACCTTTCTACATGCTTCAACATATAAAATAATTAAAGTTCATCCAAATAAATGAAAAGAAGTTATCAGTACCAAACGTATAATAATTATGAGGTAATGTCTAAAATGAAGCTTGTTTGTGTGAAAATAATTAAAGTTCATCCAAATAAATGAGAAATTTACCAGAAACACAGACAATGGAGCTCAAACCATTGTCTTTTTAAGTTTAAATGAATATCACGACCTCACTGACATACACATTCATCAATCCTTGTCGGCAAAGATAACCGAAAAAGAAATTCACAAAAAAAAAAAAACTCCTTGGTATTCATAAAGAAAATGTAACAATAACAGTTACTAACGTTTCAGAGCAATGTACAAACTGAGTGTTACACAATATGACCTCACCTGCAGTTTCACCGGAGTAGTACTTGAATGATGCTTTGAAACGAAATGTCGTGATGCGATCTGCTCTGAATCCGAATCCAATCCGTTGACAAGCCTAACGTGATGTATCATTACGAAGCCAAAGAATTCAGCTTCTTTTCAAGCACTTTGGCTCGCCGAAGAGCATCCAGGGCCTCGGCTTGCTTTCCGGAACGCTTCAAGTGTACCGCCTTCACTTTTTCAGCCTTGATCTGTTCCTCCAGTTGGATCCTTTCCCTGCCAGAGTTTTCAACCTTACCGGAAACAGAAACAGACTTTACTGGTTCGGGTTTCTCAGGACTTTGGGAAGTTGTACTAGCATCTTCCAATCCTATTGCTTTCAAAGCAGACAAAAGTTGAGGATCGAGAAAATCCTCTACACCCACATCATCAACGGGCTTTGCTCCACCGACAGAAGATTTAACGGAATCATTGGCCCCCGACTCCTCTAACTGGGCTTCAAGAGCCTTGGCTAGTTCAAACTCGGCCTCTGCTTCTTCCATTCGACCTTCCCTCCGGAGCTTCATTGCTAGCCGTTTGTGGCTGAGGGACTCTTGTTGCAACTTGAAACGATCACGACTGGACAGTGGTTTCGAAGCCAAATTTGATGAACTGTGGTGCTGTTTTTGTTCAACAGATGTGACATTTGAAGTAGAGCTTGAAACATCACTAGAACTAGTACTGGGATGCGAATTGTTATCCTCCAAACTCTTTTCCAGAAGCTTTGCTTGACGGAGTTCCTCCCGAGCTTCTGCCAGCTTCCCCTCTCTCTTCAAAGCAACTGCCTTCCTCTTGAGAACCAAGATTTCTTGCCGGACAGAACTTTGATCATTCTGAGAAGCAGTTGCCCCAACTGAATCAGATTCATCAATGTGTGGTTTCTTGTTCTGTACAACCATTTCTTCTCGTTTCTCATGTGTAATTTTGACATTTCTTCCCAGATCTTCAGTGACTAGACGATCAGGATGTACAGAAATACTAGTAATTTGTTCAGAAGATTTTTCTTGCGGGTCTTCTTTTGATACACCCCTCGCATCTTCTTCAACAGCAATTTTATGGAGAGAACTAATGCTCTCGTTTTCCACACGCTTATTAATTTCAGATTGAGCTTCTATCTTCGGCATTTCCATCTCTGCCAATTGGGCTTCTAATACTTTTGCCATTTCCAAAACTTCATCAGCCTCCTCCGTCTGTCCTTGGCGTCTCAAAGTAAGTGCCTTCCTTTTCAACCCCAAGAGTTCCCTCTGGATTTCGCCTTTACTTCTTCTAGACACCCCAATTAGAATCGAACTAGCAGATTGAGTAACAGGCGAATCAATTATCTGCATGGGACTGCCATTTTGTTTAGCAGGTTTGGGTGGAAATATATCGGTTTTGTCATCTTCGTCTTTCCAACCCAAGTTACTTAAAAGGGAAAGATATGTCGGGTCATGCAAGTCCTGATCAGTCACATCCTCCGCTTCTCCTTCGTCTCCAAGATCTGGAACTGCAACATCATCAGGATTCTTTTTACTGCCAATCACTGGCGTGGCCTTCATGTTCGAGGCACTATCCATCTCTTCAAGCTGCTGCTCAAGAACCTTCCCTTTTCTCAACTCTTCATCGGCCTCATCCAATTTACCTTCCCTTCTCAAAGCAAGAGCTCTCTTTTTCAGGCCCAAAAGCTCTTTCTGAATCATTAGTCTACTCTTCGGTGCCAATTTCAGGGCCACTTTATCCATTTCATTGACATTTCTATCATCAGCCTTATATGGCATTGTGTCGGTTCCTTGAGTAACAAAGCTATCAAGGTCCTTCTCCAGTACTCTAGCCTTCTTTAGCAGCTCCATTGCCTCTGCAGAGTTACCTGCCCTTTTCTGATTTAGTGCTTCTCTTTTCAAAGACTGAATTTCATTTGACAATGCTTCCCGATCCATAGGGACAAGCTTGGGCTGAATATCCTCAAAATGATTGGCTTCCTCAGTCCAACCTAACGATGTTAAAGCAGCAGCAATTTCTGGATCATCCATATCATTATCAGTCACTTCAAAGTTGCTATCAACACCCAGATCATCAGTAATGCCCATCAGGTGATCAAAATTAAAACCAGCATTGGGCTCATGGGCAACCAACAAGTCGTCTTGTTTATCACTGTCAATACTACGGATCAAAGCTGAAAGCTCGTCATCAGAATCTTCAGCCTCGGCCAAGAATTCCTCTTCCTCAAGTTGCTTTTCAAGAACTTTAGCTCTCTTTAATTCTTCCTTCGCTTCGGCGAGTTTTCCGTCACGCTTCAACGCGAGAGCCTTTTTCTTATGAGCAATGACCTGGGTCTTGTCAATGCCATGACTTACTTTTCCTGTATTAGATTTTTGAGAGACCTCTCGAAGAAGAGTAGAAAGCTCACCCTCTAAACTCATGTTTGATGGCTTCTTATCTGCAGCATGAAGATCCATGTCAGACCATCCCAATTCTTTGAGTTCATCGGCAAGATTGTCTTTTTCTTTACTCTTTTGAGGAGCGAGGTTGTCTTTTCGGCCAGAACATGTATTCTCATCACTGATTTTGTGGATATCAGTTGTGTTGCTTGTTGACAAAGCTCTTTTACGATTTTTTCTTAATAATAATTCCAAAGCCCCAGCTTGCCGCTCAAGCTCTTTTCCCCTTTTAAAGGCTTTTAAAGCTTCTTCAGATTTTCCTTCTGCTTTCAGAATTTTGTACTTGTTTTTTTCCTCCAGGGCATGCTGACGCAATTCTTCGGGACTAGACTCCCCAACGGAAAGACTTTTGGGTCTTTCTTCTCCCTCATCATCGTTAGTGGCGACGTCTTGAATATTTGAACATGATGAACTACTTGTATCCCTTTCGAGTTTCGAAATCACGTTACTTGTGGACAACTCTCCTGAAAAAGCCAATTCCTTTCTATCGCTACCCAGAATCTCGTTTAAAAGTTCATCCTCATGTCTAGATGACAGTTTTGAACCACCTGCAGACAGGCAATCAACATTTAATCGGAAGACAACCTTTTAATATGAAAAGTAACTTATGATCTTTTTCTTTATGACAGTAAAACCTTAGAAAAAAAAATAGTGTTTTAATTTATGTGACAGAAACCCAGATTGAAACATGGATGGTTGGTTCAGGACCAGATATTCCATCCATCAAATTTCATGTTACAACATAATTTTCAAAATAGAAAATAGATATACCAACTTTCATATTACCCTATCAAACCCATCAAAGCATAGAAGAATAACGATTTCTTATTCACAAACTATAACTGTATTGTAATGTTGATCATACATGAAGTCAATTATTCAGTCCTGTGTATGTCTGCATGCAGAAATATCCAGTGAAGCAAAAGCATGTATCAACAAAACTGGTAGCTTATCTCATGAAATCCACTTGAAAACTTCTTCACTGCCAACATATTGTTTGACACTGTTATTTACACCAACACATAAAATAATACACATCGCTAGCATCTAGCAATTTTCTAGAGCATGAGAGAGAGAGAGAGAGAGAGAGAGAGAGAGAAGACGCAAACTCTATATTCCTGCATCTATTAGACTACTTTACTTTGTGCAACGATTCCGAAAATGTCATCATTAATTTTCACACCAAAAAAATACATCATTTTGTAAAATATCTACACTCAGGGTTCGTTTGGCAACTTGGTTTATTGGTAAACCAAACCAAACCAAACCAAGCCTAACCTTAAGTCCCATCAAATGAGATCGGCTACACGAATCCTTCTTCTCCACGCGGCTCTATCAAAAGCCAAAAAGTTAAAAGTCACCAAAAAAACAAATCATCCACACCAGTCATTCACGTTTTTTTATACAACTAGGAAAAGTCATTCCCAAACACATTAACTTTTTTAACCTCATAAAAAAGTCCAGAGGCCATAAAACCACTAAAAATGCCAATTCCGAAACGAATTTATCAACAAAAAAAAATGCCAATTCCCAAACGACCCCTCAAATGAAAAGGCAATGAAGGGAAACAAATAAAGAACTGTCATAATGCAGCAGACAAGTGAAACTTTGAAGATAGAGAAGCTCCAATCGTAATCCAAAGAAGATTAGTAGCAATGATAAAAGAAGCAGCATTTGTAATGATAAAAGAATCACTTCGACTATACACAAGAAATGTCAAATGAACAAATAAAAGAAACATACCTCTTCCAGTTCTGTTCTTGTGTCCATGTCGCATTTCAAAACGTGCTGCCTCTTCAAGTTTTTTACAGGGTTCACAGATACGTACTGGTGAATCACCTTGTCCACGTAACAACATTCTTTGCTGGGTACAGCTGCTGCAAAACAAACCTCCACACCTGCGGCAGTGATGCTGAAAATCCACAAAACATTAATAACTAACAAAGGCTAAAAGCAAACAATTAGAAGAGCACAAACTTTAATCTTGAAGCAAAATCTACTAAAAACCTCAACAAGTGACAAACCAATTAATAATTTTATACAAATGCTTCATCTGTTATATCAAGCCAATTATTTTAAGAATATGGTATTACAAATGAGCAAGGTATTAAATATTGGCCATTACGTATCGGCCGTAACGTATAGGGATTTTGGACTTCTAATACAGTTATTCATCATTATATCAATATTCTCCGATATATAACCGTATCGCCGATACATATCCCGATACCATTATTTAAAACCATGCTCATGAGCATTTGCGGAGAAACTTCAAGGGAATTTATTCCACTATAATTATGCTCATAGCAGCCTATATTTCAACAAGGGATGACAATTGACAACAGGTTGGGTATTGGCTGCAGCCCCCCTATCCCAACCCTAGCCACAACTGGGGAGGAAGACCAACCTGTCCCCTTCCCAAACCAGCAATGGGTACTACGAGGCAATCCCATCCCCAACCCCTGATGCAAGTTTGCGAACCCATCCCCGCCCAATCTCACCCCATCCAATCTTTGCAGAACAAGATCAACATATCAAGTCAAACTCCCAAATCATGAGCGGCAAAGAATCTATGTATATATCAAAAAGGGCATAACTAGAGCATAATACTCCCACTCATATCACGATCAGTAAATCAACCTGCCACTCTGCATAAAAGTAGGGGTACAAGACTACCTACTACCTCTCTCAAAATATGTGTATATATATACACACACCTACACACACCTTGACGTTTATGTACATATAAAGAGAGAACCAAACAAGCAAATTTTCAAGGGATGGTAGTGGCGCCAGTGCTGGACGACGCCACATTAGATCTTTTTTTTTTTTTTTTACTTCATCATTTACTCTCCTTTATTGTAGTAGGCACTAGTCTTCTCATTGGGCCAAATTGCATCTATATGGATCAAATAATTCAATTGGTATATGCTGAGAGATGGATAAATTGCTTCTTAGCTATTCCCACTAGGGACTAGTAAATACAATAGACTTGTCTAGTAAATAAAATGATTGTTTTTAAGCTTTACTAATAGGAGCATAATTGAGTCAAATCTATTAACTCTTATTCGGGCATTTGAAGCTATTACTTGTTACTTCTTAAGGGCTTTTTTGGAAGGAATGTATTAAGATAGAGCTAGCCCCTTTGAAGAAGGGCTCTCTAGATGAGTCGAGTTCATCAATAGTCATGTCTCTGCCCACCCAATTCATTGGACATTACAACAGCTATTAGACCAGGGACAAGATTAATCAAGCCTTTGTGACACTAGCATATTTCCGTACTAGCACCCACTTTCCAGTATCTCCACAACTACCACTACTAGTACTAGAAATAAGGTTGATTAAACACATTGAATTTCTCCAATCGACAAATCCCAGCAATTGAACCTTTATTAATAACAAATAATCATGATCTGTTTATAACCCTTGTGATCCTAATGGACAAATCACTAAATCTTCTCAAACTTCAAAATGAATCGAATAACATTATTTCATCTAAGGTAGCAAATTATGGATTCAATCAACCTAATCATGGTGAAAAGCCAAAATAACCAATTTCTGAAATATGGGTCTGAAAAAAATCGCAAAAATAAACAAATAATTTGCTCAATCCAGAGATAAGTCATTAATCAATCTAATCATGGTGAAAACCCAAAATGACCAATTTCTGAAATATGGGTCTGAAAAAAAATCCAAAAAAATAAACAAATGCTTTGCTCAATCCAGAGATAAATCAATAATCAATCTAATCATGGTGAAAAGCCAAAATAACCAATTTCTGAAATATGGGTCTGAAAAAAAATCCACAAAAATAAACAAATACTTTGCTCAATCCAGAGACAATATAACATAATCACGATCACCGATTCCAATAATTGACCACAAAAGATTCAATTTTTGAGAAAGAGACACATGGGTATGCACAATCAAACAGAGTAGATATATATATATATATATATATATAGAGAGAGAGAGAGAGAGAGAGGGACCTTGCGATTGATGAAGGTGAACTGAGAGGAACATAATTGACAATGTGAGGCATCGACCACCCAATTGTTCCCCCGCAGTGCAGGCTTTGGGGGCAATCCGATCTTCTCCAACATGTTTTAGGTTGTTGTCAATAAAATCGAAATCAGAAAAACAAAGAAATTGATTTATGAAACCAAAAACAAAAGAAAAAAACAGATTTTGATTTGAAGATCAAAAAAGGGTTTGCCTCTTGGAGGTTTTTTGGTTTGGTGGGTTTTTGATTTCTCAAGTCTGATGACATGAGATGAGAGAGAAACAAAGCAGACTTGAGACTTCTTTTCTATCGGGAGATCGATCGCGAAGAAAGTTCCCAATTTCAAACACTACTTAAACGACACCGTGTTTTATATTAGATGAAGAATACGACGTAGTTCATAGTTAAAAACTTCAAGAACAACCAAGACTCACCTAAGACCCTCTTCAATTCTGAACCAAATCTAGCATCAAATTTAAAACTTGGTAAAAAAAGTACTTTTTCATGCTCTAACGGTTTCATCAAATTGATATTAAATCGAGATTTTACCAAAATAAGGACAAGCTCTGCATTTTATCAAAATACTGTGCATGACCGTTGGAGAGAGACCAACCGGTTGACCGGCCGATTGACCAACTGGTCGACCACCAAAAGGTTCAAACGGTTTCAAAAAAAAGGTCAAACAGTTAAAAAAATAATAATAATTTCCCTTACCGATCGACCAGCCGGTTGACTGACCGGTCAACCAACCGGTCGACCACTAAAAGGTTCAAAAAGTTCAAAAAAAAAATCTTTTTGGCTTAATCGGTCGACCACCCGATCGACCAACCGGTTATCCCGGCACAGATTTGATGAAAATTTGATGAAAATCAACCGTTGGAGCACTCGGTATCAGATTGAGGAAAAAGTCATTTTTTTACTCAGATTTGATGAAATCTTTGGTTCAGGGTTGGAGATGCTCTAAGCCCCACACATATGGGGATTCCCTTTTTATTTTGGGCTATTTTCCCGTGACCTGTTTATTTATCTAGGAGTGGAAAAATGGTTCGCAGTTCGCGCGTGGTACGAAGTTTACTTGCAGTTCAAAATGAGCACGATTTGTTTAGGTTCGTTTGAGTCCGGGTCCGAGTCCAACTTGAGCCCTTGAGTTTAGGCCTGAGTCATCATTTTAAAATTCAGTCTGGTCCGTGGTCTGTGGGCTTGGCCCGCCTAGCTAGGCCAATGGCCCAACCCATCGACCCACTCATGGCCCAGCCCACCCGAGATCTAGTGTCTTTTTTAGTAGAAAATAATAAAATTTTGGTAGAAATTTTATTTAAAAAAAAAATAGTTAGGCCCGCCCAAGTTCAGTCCAAGCCCAAAGTTAGGCCCAGACCCACTGGCCCACCTAAGGCCCGAATACCCCTGGGCCTGGGCCTAATTTTTGGCTCATAGGTTGGCCTAGACTGGGCCGAATTTTGGTAGGAGCTTGCGAGGCCTGACATGGGCCAGGTCGGGGCGGCCTAGATTTACACCCCTGTGTGTTACTGTATATAAAAGGCGGATACGAAAATGAAAACAGATATAATATAAGGTGGGTCTTACATATTTTCTTGTTTTCCTATATTTCATGTTTAGTTAGTTTGGATATAGGGAGTCCGGATAGTATATGATGCAAAAAGAGAGGATATGCAATACCTCCTCATAGTATTGTATACCCCCCCTGTAGCAACCCCCGCTTTACTCTAGTCATGCTTGCATTGTAAACCTTGATTTTGTTTCGCATAAGTGTTGCTTGCATATTTTGTTTCTTGCTTGGTATGAGTTTAGCAGAGGTCATCCTAAGCCTAGGTTACGCCTTTGAACTTCTTACACCTAGGACCATATTGGAACCACCTTGGTTGGCCTCCACCCTCACCCTGACATGTTAGCCGGGATGTCATTATCTAGGCTAAGGTGTTCATCACCAAGGCCGAGATGTGTATTATCTAGGCCGAGATGTTATACCAAAGTGGTCTTGTCCCTGGACTGGTATGACCTAGATCGAGGTGTGGCACATCTAGGCCGAGGTGTGGCACATCTAGGCCAAGTGTTGTCCTTCCTAGCCGAGATCATTGAGACCTTACATGCCGAAGCTTTGTCTTAGCCAAGATCATTACCCGCCGTGGTGCCCTGTCACCTTACTTGTTGCTTACAGTTTGTCATACTCTTGTCTTATCAATCTATCACCTTTTTGAGGAGATCCAATCAGCCGTTGCCATGTGTCCCAATAGAGGGTTAAGTCAGCCGGCAGAGTTAGAAACACATCATTTTGTGTCATATCCTTGTTTTTTAGAGAGAGAGGCTCTAGGAAGAAGAATGAGGAGTTCTTAGAGAGGGAATAGATTTCCAAGCTTGATCTTCACACCTTGAGCCGTTGATTCGTATCTTGAGGTTAGAATCTTGATCTACTCTTGTTGTTCTTATTGTTCATCTAGCTGCATTGCATGATCGAGCACGATTTGTAAGCCATGCATTGATTTAAAGTTTTGTTTTAGAAAGAAAAAGTGATATTCATGTGTTCTTGAATAAAAGTCTTGTTTAATCCGAAAGCTTGCATCAAGATTCATGTTTTTGTGTTTGTCTTCATAAGATCTTCAAGTATGGGTACTCAGGTCCATGTTTTCGAACTCATCTCATGAAATCCCAGATTTCGTAATAACAAGTTGTGATTGAGCATTAATGTTTTTCATGTTCTTCAGCAGAGGGAAACCCAGATTTTCCTGACTTTATTTTCTTGAATGTGGCCATCGGGACCACACCTCGGCAAGGAGGTGTGGGACCTCGGCCTAGACCTGGTTGGTGCCCATTATGTTTTCCGAGATGAGAAACAGTGTTTTGTTTTGGTCCGACTTAGTTTTGAAGGAATGCTAAGATCATTCGCATTTATGTAAAGCTTGTTTGAGAGTGCATTCAATAGACTTTGCCATGTGTTTGTAGGACTTGGACTCTTGCTTTGACCCCGATGTTTGAAGAATTAAGTGAGTGGTATTTTTAATAAAGCTATGTTATGACATTTGATAAAGCTTTGCCTTGCTTGTTTTGGAAAAGTATTTGTTAAGCATGAATGACTATCCCTATCTTGTGTATCAAGTATTAGCTTTGATTTTGATAACATTCTTGACAAGTCCGTACGTACTAAGGGACTAAAGCATTTGTAGCACAAGTCCGTACGTGCTAAGGGACTATAAGCATTTGTAGCACAAGTCTGTACGTGCTAGGGGAGTTTAAACCTTTGTAGCACAAGTCCGTACGTGCTAAGGGACTATAAGCATTTGTAGCACAAGTCCGTACGTGCTAAGGGACTATAAGCATTTGTCGCACAAGTCCATACGTGCTAAGGGATTATAAGCATTTGTAGCACAAGTCCGTACGTGCTAAGGGATTATAAGCATTTGTAGCACCTTTGTTAATGTCATCCCTTGTACTATATTGATGCTAGTAAGCATCCTTTGAAGTTTTGAAAGACTTGATTGATGGACTTGGTTCATCCCTTGATTTTGTATAGTATGCTATGTATTGTTTAGAAAAGAGATCTTGAATTTCATTCATGCAAAACCTTTATTACTGGTATCATTCACTGAGTATCCAAGCTCACCCTCTCTATATATATGTAGGTGATGAGCAGGGCGGTGGTGACGCCTAGATGATTGTTTGCAACTTGTTTTGGATTCGCATTTTTGTAGCATCTTGAAGATCATGCTTCTTGGCTTGTAGTTATTTCTTTTGTATATGTCGGCTTGAGAAGCCTTTTGATCAAGATGTATTTTGTACTTTATTTATTGTATCCAAGTTGTGAACTATATTAAGATGTATGCCATTTCATTTGATCTATGTACAGCTCTTATGGATTGTTCAGATTCAAATTTATTGCTTCCGCACATGTAGGCCCCATATGTATACTCTGATCGTGTGTGAATCTTTGTAAGTTGGCTTTTGGTAATCTCGGATTACTAGCCATCACAGCACCATTCTAATAGGGGCGGGATGGGGTTGTGACACGCACTGTCGGATATAGGGGATTTTCATTTAAAAGTAAAAAATAATCACTCTCCTCTTATTCCATCATATATCATATCTTAACCAAATATAGTATAAGTGATCCCATAGTATAATTCATCTCATATCCTACAATATAATATATCTCATCTTTTTTCTTAAATATTACATATCTTTCTCAAACTCTTATATTTAATCTGGACAACCAAACGGGCTATAGACCTTGAGAAATCAAAGGTGTTCGTGGTTGGCTTGGTTCGATTTTGCATAAAATTTGGAACCAATTTAATTATGATCGGTTATAGGTTTTTGGATTTAGAATCAAACCAATCATGTATTAAAATCAACTCAACCCAATCCAGTAAATGTAACTCGGATTAGTTCGGATTAGAATCACGATTATATTACATTAAAAAATAGTAAATCAATCAATAATAAATAATTAAAATAAACAAGTCTTTTAACATTTAAACACAACACAAGCAAGAAAAAAAATATTATTTAATTCAAGTTAATACAAATTAAATTCAACTTAAGCTTAAATATGGCCAATATAAATTAAATCCATTAATACGACCAACACAAAATAAATTAATTGGGAAATCTGACTCAAACTTCTAGTACTTCCTTCGTTTACCTAATAATTCTTGTATGTGAAAAATTATTAGGTATAATTAAGTCCATTGGAATAGATCAAGTAGATAAAAACTTGTCAATTTAAATAAAATATTAAAATATATAAATAGGTTCGGTTTGGTTCGGTTTAGGCAAGGCCTAAATCAAGAACCAACTCAATCCTATCAGTTTGATGATTTGAAGATCCAGAACCAAATTAATGTACTTAAAAACCAAACCATCCCAAAGAGATTGGTTTGGTTCGGTTCTTCGATTCACTAAGTAATTTGAACACCCATATTGAGAACTATCACTTTGATCCCTAAATTATAAAATCATGCAAATTGACTCTCTAAATTGTTAACATGTTTCACTTTGACCCCTTCCGTTATTGCACTATAGCGATTCTAGTTTAGACTCGACCCATCTTACATTCTGGACTCGGCTTTCATGATTCTGTATTGTTGTTTTGACCTTTTTCCCCTTATTCCCCATTGAAATTGAGTATTGGAGTGCCTTGATTGTGTTTGAAACAAGTTGGTTACTGGTTAGTTCAAATTATTGTTGTCCAGATTTTGGCCTTTTCGCTCGAGCAAAGCTTCTTGCACTCAAGCGAGCTTTGTGAACTCCTAATACTTTTGCAAGCCTGCAGAGATACTGGGAGGGTAGTGTTCTTCGCTCAAGCGATGG